TAGATTGGAATAGAGTGGTAGTCAAAGTGGTGTCATTGGAAGAGAAGGGAGGCCTCCCTGCCTTCGGATACTGCCTTCATCAGGCCTGAAATACTTCACTTCATCACAATTTCAACAGTTACTGTATCATTAGTGTTAAATAGCCATCTCTTGTAAGATGAAAATTACCTTATGGTTGTCACTTCTAGTCCCTCACACCTCAGTGTGAATTATTCTAATCTGATTATTTGATTCCCCCAAGAAAAATGAGGTTGAAGAAACTGAGCTAATGAGAGTTCCATGAGGGACTAGGCTAGACGCAAGAAAAATCCTTGAAGTGTGGAATACCAAAAGAAAAGACAGTTCTGAGCGAAGGGCTGCAGAGTTAGATAGGACCACCTGAAGGTCCTGAACTACTGGGAGTGGAGGGGCGGGACAGAGGAGGTGAGAGAGAACCTAAGGCAAAGTTCGGCAACTTCGCAATTTCCTTGGGAATCTATGAATAACACAAATAAGAAGCTCCCCTCCCACCCCATCCCCGCTCCCCAAGCTCCAAGGAACGGAGCCGGTGGTACGAAAGAAAGAGCACTCTTTTCCTGCTAGTAAGAAATGAAAGAGTATGTGACCTCTCGACTTTTCTCTTTTGGCGAATTCTTGGCGAAAGCGGGTCCTGCATGCTCATGAAGCCAATCGCCAGGCTGACTAGAAGTCTGTGGCCATTTCAGCCACTTCTCGAGGAGCAAGCCACAGAGGAACAGGATGCTCAAAGCCTTTCGTTCTACAGGAATGACCCCAAATTTTAGTGGGGCAAATCAGAATCCTTTCCTCAGCCTTTTACTTAGTCTCACCGTGGGGGGAAGGGATGGACACTCACTGGACATCGCCTGGGCACGCGCAAGTGCTCACTCAAACCCACATCCCACAAGTTGCGACTTTCATGCGGGAGAAAGCTAATGGGTGGAAGGCAACTCTTTTCTGCGATATGGTCTCTGAAAGCGCCAGATTCCAGACTGCAGGCGGGGTGTTGGATATCCCTACAGGCATTGTTTAATGATTTTATTGAAAAGAAGAGACAGTTGTGAGAAAACAGGTTTGACAAGGAGCAGCGTTTCCCCCCCTCTCCAGGGAATTTCTTTTTTGTCTGTTTCTGACATCAAAGTCAGTAATCGGTTCATTTCAATGTCATGATGATTATTTAATGTATTTATCTGTGCTGAGTAACTTGGTCCCCACACTGGCGGGAGGGCGGGCGGGCGGGGGACTCTTCCAGGGAAAGCAAAGACTGAAACGCCTTAAAAGGTAAACGAAGCTACAGTAAGAACAGGTTAAAGGAAGAGGCTGTAAAATAAACACTGTAGAAAGGACGACTAAAAGGAAGAGGGGGGGCAATAGAAGAAAATATGATTTGGTCATAAGTTCTGTGCACTTAACTCTCCATACAGAATACTGTTATATTGGTCTCAGTATAAGAAAGAAAGAAAGAAAAAGAAAGAAAGAAAGAAAGAAAGAAAGAAAGAAAGAAAGAAAGAAAGAAAGAAAGAAAGAAAGAAAGAAAAGGAGGGAGGGAGGAAGGAAGGAAGGAAGGAAGGAAGGAAGGAAGGAAGGAAGGAAGGAAGGAAGAAGGAAGGAAGGAAGGAAGGAAGGAAGGAAGGAAGAAAAAGAAAAGCGCCATTCTCATCCTTAGACACACACACACACACACACACACACACACACACACACTCAACTTTGGAACTATTTTGTCCAAAGCATCCGGTGGAGTAAGAAGAATTTGGGGGCCCTTGGGGGCGTCTCTGCTCCGCCTAGAGCCACCACTAAATAGTTTGTCCTTCAAACTCAAGACAACTCTATTGGCCCTGGTCAGATACTAACCACTGGGCAATGGGATCTTTCGCCAGAAAGACTCCTCTCCTCCCAGCTTGGGGAAGGCACTAAATTCCCTCGAGCTAATGCCTCCTGTACCTCCGTCTTCTGGGTACCGGTGGGTGTCTGGTGCACACTCCCTCCTGAACCCCAGTCCTCCTCTCCTGCAGGGTCTTCTCTGAGCCCGCTCGTCAATCGAGCTCTTCTTGAAGACCGACCCCTGTAAACCTAATCTAGGGAGATGTTAAGGGACACTGAGCTATGCAGAAGATCAGAGAGGCTGACAGCTACTGTCAGTTGGGGTTAAATCAGAGTCCACACTATCTCACCCAAGGTTCCCACTTGCAGGCTTACCTCGGTTTCCGCATTAGGGGAGGAAGAGACTTTCCCAGAGTGTCCCAAGCCTCCCTCCCAGATTGCAGCCTCAGTCAAGCCAGTCTCTAATTGTCTTGATTTGTAAGAGGGTTTTTGTGATGCTAAATAAGCGTGGTTCAGCCATTCTACCATCCCCTTTCATACCTCCCCCCCTAACTCGGTTCTTTGTTTACCCTAGCCTGATCTCTCTTTTATTTATCTATCTATTATTTATACGCTTCCCCTCCTATTCAGGCCCCGTGTATGTTAATTGTGTTATACCATTTAATCCTAACATTGGTCTCAAAAGAGCACTTAATGAGAAAAGCATATCCAACACGGATCACTCGGCTATTCAGCTCAGCCAGATGGACAACTGCTAACTTTTTTTTTAAATGAAAATCCTCTTTTAACAAAGGGGTTCCGATGAATAGGCTTCAAATAGAACCTCAAACATTGCTAATTGTTTTTAGGACAATATGCTAATCCACTAGTTTCGGCTTGAAATTCTGTTCATAATTTCTCCCTCTCCAATCCACCTCCACATACCTAATCCCATGGAAACACACACATAACAATAACAACAACAACACAAGGAAAAACAAACCTTAACAACCAGTCTTGCCCCCCCCCACCACACACAGACACACAGCACTCACACACACATGCAACTACTTCCTACCTTCTCTCTTGGCTTTCCTAGATTAAATGCAATGCAAAAGACATGCACCCTATGGGGGGGGGGCGGGAAGTGATAGTGTTGCCACAGCAAAGGCTAATGAAAAAGGCTGGGGGTTTGTGTAGGGAGTAATAAGAGGTTCAAACTCTTGTTTAAATAGATAGGATGGCAGGAGTTTGAAGCCATCCTCCTTTCCTTCAAATTCTGCCAGAAAACATAGTTACCTTGGGGTAAGGCCTCAAGGAAAAAAAACAAACACAAAAAACCCCCAAAATTAGAAGCATTTGCTCTCTCTTGTCTCTCTCTTTCTCTCTCTCTCTCTCTTTCCCTCCCTCACTCCTTCCTTTCCTCCCTCCATCCTTTCCTTCTCCTTCCTTCTTTCCTTCCCTCCTTCCTATCTTCCTCCAAAGCTTTCCTTTTTCTACTCAGGCTTGGACCCTAGACATAACTTCTTAAGGTTACTTGTCTTCCTAAAGGATACACCACCTGATTCTTTAAAGACAGCATTGGACCTTTCCTGCAGTTCACCCGATTCTTTACTGAAGTGCTCAAGTCAAGGGAAAACTCTAAGGAAGAAGAGCCATGGTGGAATTTTCAAAACAGTACAGAAAGTTTTTTTTAGATCCTTTTCTTTTGCCATGCACGTTAAACTTAAATCTTACTGCCATTGAAAAGATGTGAGGACTATTCCCCACCACCCCCAACAATTTATTCTTTCACTTTTGCCAGTGATTTATTGTGGCAACGAATATTGTGGCTTTGGTTTAAAAAAAGAATGCACAGACCCCTTGATCACAGATTTAGAACAGCCTTTAGAGAATGCCCATCCCCAGATGCAGACAGGGAATGGCAAAGATCTTTCTCTACCCTGACCACAAGAGAAAAGACAATTCTGAATGTATAAGGAGTCTCTATAAGAAAAGAAAATAAAAGAAAGAAAAAACCCAACAATATTTGGTGCCTGTTACCTTTGTTTCCACTGAGTATATTAACATAGGAATACACTTTCCATATACAGACATATAAATAAAGAGAGTTCCATCTAAGATGCTATCATGGCCCTGAGTATCCCTCAGTCTAAATCTACTTAGTCTCTGAATTTTAGACTCAGTGATTGGGAGGGGGACGGGGAGGGTCTGGAAAAACACTACATCTCAGACTGTATGAACACCACAGGTTACTTTTTGAGGACAGATTGTCTTTATTCAAAACGTCTTTGTTCAACAAATGAACAGAGTAACGAGGTAAAATCCTTCTGGGTACATTTTCTTTTCCAAGACATCGTCAAAAACATATTTCAATGACCACTTAGGATTTTTTTTTTTGCTTTTAAAAAAATCTTTATGATTCTACATCCTGACTTCATAACCCAAAGTTCTGTCTAAAGTAAATTTAGGTCTAGCTGCACTGGTTCACACAAGTTTAAAGACTATGTGGGTTCTTTTAATTTTCATTTAAAGAAGCAAACACTACCATATCATGGTTTGAAAGAGAAATATTTCCCTCTTGTGTTGTTTTAAACTTTTAAGCCGTTTAAAATTCTGACACGGAAAGCAAATGGTGCCTAGTCCTGTCTGATGGCAAACACAGATATGACACAGATAATCCTATCTTCAGTGTGCAAAAGAAAAAAAAATATATGTATATTTCTCTATATATAATACCAGGGCCTGGAAGATTAAAGTCCAAAGCACATCCGAGAATATAGAAGAGAACATAAATAAAAGCGAAACTGCCTACTCTTGTCCAAAATGGGGTCCAGTCAAATGTTTGTTTTTGTTTGTTGGGGGGGGGGGTTGCGTGGTTGTCAAAACACTTTCAAGTTTCTGGCACCTGTCTGAGCCTTGAAGCCTGGGAGGACTCCCTCCCCCTTCCCCTTCCTTCTTCCACCCTCAGGCGAAGAAAGGAAAAGTTGTAAGGGGGGCCAGCAGGGGTTGGGATCCGCCAAATTTCTGTGGTTACAGAGAAGTCCTCGCCCTTGGAACAGGGTGGAGCGGGCGCCAGTGGCTCAGGTGGGCTGGAAGGGTAAGGGAGCATAGGGAGGATAATAACACATGCAACCCCCAGCCACCCCGCCCCTGTCCCCGCATCCCAAAATGGTCCGACTGCTTTCAGCAGGGATAGGTCCGGGGAGGGGGGAGAAGATGGGAGCAGGGTGGGGATCAAAAGGGTTACATGGCCGTCGCGTGGGCTGAAGAATAAGGGTCTATTCCAGTCTTGGTCATGCCGGGGAAGAGGATGTAGGCAACTGGGGGCTGCAAACTGGACGCCGACCAGGCAGTACAGTTACAGGGCACCACATAGCCCGGGTTGGTAGGGGACGGGTGGGTATGTGTGTGCTGGCTGGGGCAGCTGAGACTGCCGAAAGCCCCATTTTGGTAGCCCAAGGTGGACGCGTAGGGCAGCGTGCTGGTCGCCAAGGTGTGAGGGACCTCAGTCATCTTCTGGATGGCGCTGGAACTAAACTGACTGGGGTCCAGGAGGGAGTAAGGTGCCGAGGTGGGGGGCAGGAACGCCCTGGCTTTCTCGGGAGAGCCGAGGAGACTGTCCGTGGTCCCCACGGGCAGGCCGGCTGCCTTGAGGGGATCAGTTTCTCCGAGGTAAGGTAAAGGGAAGACGTACCTGTCCTTCTTGAGTAGGTTCTTGGGCTTACGTCGTGGCCGATACTTGTAGTCCGGGTGTTCCTTCATGTGCTGGGCGCGAAGCCTCTTGGCCTCATCGATGTAGGGGCGCTTCTCCGCTTCGGAGAGCAGTTTCCACTCGGCCCCTAGACGTTTGCTGATCTCCGAGTTGTGCATCTTGGGGTTTTCCTGGGCCATCTTCCTTCTTTGGCCCCGGGACCATACCATGAAAGCATTCATGGGTCTCTTGATATGGTCGGTGGGCTTGGACATGGTCCCGTAGGCTGGGGGAGAAGGAGAATAGGAGTTTCTTCAGTGATCAGAGATCGAGTCTCTCAGTCTTTCTCTCCTCTCTCCCACTTCCTCTCTGTCCTCTCTCCCTCTTGCTTTCTTGAGTGGAGGGAGGGGTCAAAGGAAGCCCCCCAAAATACTCCCTCCAAATGTTCAGCTAATCATACCAGTTCTTCAGCAAATCCAGTCCTTTCAGAAGCGTCCTTCTCTGGGGGGTAGGGATGGGGGCCGGGTGGGGGTAGAAGAGGGAGGACGATGTAAACAGAGCGTGGAGGGCTGAGGGGAGGGGATGCAAAAAGATCCAGAATTATTTGAGGTCTCTGTGATTAAGCTTTCAAGTATTTGTATAAGTGAGCCTGAGGAAGCTCCCCTTCTCTTCTCTCCTTTTTTCTTTTTCTTTTTTCCCCCCTTTTCTTTTCCTGGAGATGTCTAGCCTTGCAAAGCACCTGGCTGAGAATGAGGGAAGTCTGATGAATATGAGCCAAAAGCGGTGAAGTTCAAAGGCGAGGTTGCTTGGGACTGCACGCAATCTGACATAATCGTGGGGCGTTGACTCCCTAACCTGAACGCCCAATCAGCATGAGAGAGGTAGAGAGAGAATACCTTAAAAGAAAGAAAATAGGAGGAAAGAGAGAGAGGCAGAGAGAGGGAGGGGAATGAGGATGGGAGGAGAGAGAGAGAGAGAGAGAGAGAGAGAGAGAGAGAGAGAGAGAGAGAGAGAGAGAGAGAGAGAGAGAGAGAGAATTAAGTACAGAGGATTAAAGGGAAGACTTGTGTTAGACACTGCACTATTGCGCTATTAGCAGCAAATAAAACTCTTCACGCCTCCTCTCTTTATTTCCAGGGCGTAGGGAATAAATAGGACTTAAAATACAAAGAATAAGAGGGTGGGACTCGAGGGGGAGCAGCCGAAGAAGGTTAGTGCATATTTATAAATAAGGCAGCATCTCAAGCAAGGACTGCATTCCACCCACTCCACCCCCACTTGTAAAGACCCCTTCAAAGTAAAAATGGGGGTAAGACTTGAAATCAACTTTTTGTAGCAGTCACTCAACCTTCCCTCCCCACCCCTCGCCCTTCAATTTCACCTGACCCAGTTCCTCTCTATTCTCTCCTGACTCTCCTGGCGTCCCCCTTCCACGTCCTCATCCAACCCCCCCCGCCAAAGGACCGGTTGGAACCTAGCAGGTGAAAAGGTGGCAAGGTGGCACATATCACAGAGCTGGGGCACAGGGTACTTCGTTTCCACACAGACACACCTGGTGGGCCATCAGAAACCATAATCAGTGTGAAAAGCTAAAAAAAAGAAAAAAAAAGAAAAAAAAAAGCTAGCCCCGGAGCTATGACGATTTGCTAAAGATGAAAACAATCTGTTATTAACTGAGGAAGGAAGGTTTGCCTTTCTAATTCCACTTTTATCCAGCTTGACTTTTTTAAAAAATCTAGTTTCCCCTCTGCAGCCCTTCTAAATTGGAACAGAATAATGAAACCCAACACTGCCCTTTGATTAATTTGATGGGGTTTAAGCCAGCGACGGAGAGCCTTTTACCTTCATAATCTTTCCTGAGCAACTGTACTTTGTACTTGGCTATTGTGCTACACAGCCCTTCATAAGGTTGCACTCCTACTATCAGGCGTCTTCGAACCAAAGGGTGACTGTTATTATTATTATTATTTCAATAGATGGTAATTCTCTGGGTAAAGAGCACTAAATAACCCCTAAGAATCAACCTGCTCGCCTGTTTCCTTTGAATAATTGCCTGCCTAATGTGAAATGCCCTTGGGGAAAATATTTATTAAATGGAAACAATTGTCTTGGGTCCGGTGGGACGTCAGTTGGTTAAGGGTTTACTGGCTTTTTGCATCAGACTGCTCAAAAAGAGATTGTTCCCTTCGCTTCAAATACCTTGGGATGCTTTCCTTGTTCAGGGGTTTTCTTTTCACATTAAAAAACGCATTTAGAGCAATAACTTCGAGGAAAACTTCTCATTTTCTCCTTTGCCACCAGAAAACCCGTATTCGGAATTCGTCCCGACTTTGAATTAGTAAGGAATGGTCAGCCTCTCGGAATATGAGGAAAGAGAGCTACACGGATAGAAAGAGTGGATGAGGGATTTCTGTGAGTTTGATGTGCGTTGTAGCAAAATATGAAATCTCAGACGTGAATAGGGGAGCCTTAAAGACTGTGCAGTGGAGATAAGATGCCCATTTTGGGCTCCATTAGGTAAGGTCTATTTATTTCCCAGTCGCACTAGTCCAGAGAAGGGCATTTTCTGCTCTCGATTCTCTACGTGCCCACACCTATGCATTTTCAGCTATACATACACATATACGCCTAGGGAGCAGATGTACAGTCTTTGTATTCCTTTTCGCCCACATTATTTCCCCAGATGCCTTAGCTTCTCTTCCCCATCCTTTGGATTTCTGTGCAATAAGTTAGTTTCATTTGGCGTCAGGGTAAAAGGGGAAGGGAGAAATGATTTAAGGTCCATTTACCTGTATAGCTTTCAAAGTGCTTCAGGCACCACCTGCTACCTACGTTGTACTCACGCACTTGGAGGGATGTGAACAGATTATCTGTTATACACAGATATGGTCGGTGAGCTCATTATTCTAGGTGTAACTGGCAAGCTTTAATAAGGGGCAGTGATCCTTTAAATATTGGGAAGAAACAGATAAGTCCCTAATATTGAAAAAAAACAGACAAACAAACAAGCCAAAAAACCAACCCCAAACCGCTACCCTAGATGAATTCACACATGGCAAGAACCGGAGCTCTGTTCCTCTAAACATTTGCACTCCGTTCTATAATCGGAAACTCTCAGCTGCGCGTTGATGAGGGTCAATTCAACAAAACCTGCCTAGTTAGCGCGCACATTGCATCCCGACACCTCCCCCCCCCGCCCCCGCCCCAGTCTTAGATTCCAGTATGCACTGATTTTTATTAGGTTTTTGGAAAGGAGGGTACCCTCCTCGTGTATCTTATTTTTTCCCCTCTCTTTGATGCTTTCGCCAACCCTTTGGAGAAGTGAGCTTTTAAGTTACCTCTCAACTCCACCCCTTGGGTCCCTGGTGGCCTCCATCCTCTCCAGGCTGATAGCACAGCATAGATCTGGTCAGGGAGATGGAGACGCAACCTTTTCCCGCAGATCCTACGAAGAATCAATGATTCCCACACTTTATGGTGAACTCCTCTATTCCCCCCCCCTTCCGTAGTGGCACTTACCCCTAGCCAGCGTAGGGTGATGTCACATTCATTCTGTTTGGGTTAGGTCCACCTCAGCTACTCTCTGGCGATTAGTTTTAATATCGCAACCAGGGCTATACAAAGGAGCTCAGAAGGTCGTGGGGAGAGGATAATTGGGGGGAGGGCGGATATGACTGGTAGGATTGATTTACGCCAGATGTAAGGCTGATAGCATCCCGCTCCCCAGCCCCTGCTTATGGTGGCTCTCTTCCTCCTAGCTGCGGAGCGGACTTGCTTCCCACTGCGGCTTTCCCCCTGAGTAGGTGGGGGGTGGGTGGGGGGAGGACAGGACAGGGAGAGGGAAACCTTGAGCGAAGGTTTTTGGGGGAAGAGTGGGGTAAGGCATGGTCGAGGAGGCTGCTGCAACTTTCTTGGTTGCTTTTCCGATTGCCAGCCAGCGCAAAGGTTCTAGAAAGAGAGCATCGCCCGGAGTGAAGACTTCTCTAATTAGAACTTATGCCCCTCAGCACCACCATTTCCACTCTTCTCTCTTGACCATCCGCAACTCCAAGCTAGCGCTCCCCACCTCTTCCAATCCCATAACACACTCAAGTTATCTACTTGTGCTCCTGCTTCCCTGTCGCGATTTTCTGGTATTGAACTGAGAAGGCGTAGGGAACGCCTCTCCAGCCCTAGTAAGTTTGGAGAACAGGTCCCTTTCCGTACATTTATACCTGCAACTGGAAAACATCACGCTGGCCAACACCCGTGAACATAAGTACTGTGAGCTCAGATCTTAAAGATGTCTGGGGAGGTGGGGGGAACTTTCCTGCAGTACTTACTTGACCTTCACTTCGAGAATCAGTGCAACTTGTCGCATTCCACCAGGACTTTGCTCAGGACCGAAGTCTACTTTGTCTCATTTGACTCAAACCAAATTAGTACTGCGTCACCAAAGAGCCCTAAAATTGGATTCTAGTCCCAGTTGTGCTATTTACTAGTGAGGTGGCCTTGGGCAAAATCAACTAGTCTTTACCGGACCCAGTTCCCTCACCTGTGAAACGGGGACAATAATGTAGTGATCTTGAACAATAATGTTCAGATCTTGTATCTGAAAGTTTCGATTGGTAGCAAAGATGATTATCTGCATCGTCATTGCCATCATTACTCTTGCTGGTGAACCTTGAAAATCTTGCTCCGACCATTAGCATTCTCTTTTCTTGGGATACCTTCTCTACCCCTCCCCCTTTTCCTCCTTCCCTTAGTTGCTCCAAGTTTGCTTGCTCCAGAGTCCCCGCAACCCAATCCCAAAACAGACTTTCCAATCTGCAGAAGTGTTTGAAAATTAAAAAAACAAAACAAAACTTATTTTCACAATAATTTTCAAGCACTTTTGGTCTCTGCTCAGGGCAAGAACGAAATGTAGAATACAGAACTTACAAGCTGATAAACAACCAGCCAGTGAAGTGACTTTCAACTCATTTTTGACCTCCTTCCTTTTCCTACCCCATTACATGCCGAGGCACTTGCTTCCCTTCCCTAGCAGCCAGAGCTTTCACTACACTCTCTGTGCAGCTCTTTTTTCTGACAGCCACTGGCTGAATCCTCCCCCCCCCCCCCCCCCCAGACTACTCTTTCTTGGTTGAGATCCCGGAGAGAAGCAATCTCTCCGGGATCTCAACTGAGCAAGGGAAATCCCAGCAGCGAACAGTCATGTCTACCAGTGGAAAGAAGGGTCCTTAAAGAAAGAGTATTATAAGCCCCTGAATCTGACTTCATGACGCCACTTTTGGGAGTCCTAAACCAAATTCTTAAAATGGTTTGGAAAGGCTCCCCAAGGATAGCAAAACACATTTATGACCTTAGGCCAGAGAAATACCACTTGGAGACAGTCCGACAGTAATGTTGTGAGGGGCTGTATATGTTGTGCCCTTTGGGTAAAGAAGATACCAAGGAGTGAGACTCAGTCCTTTCTCTTGGATTGAAAAAATCTTCGGAGGGCAGGAAGAGCGAGTCATTCCTCCTGTTTTCAAGTTTGAGCCTCAGGAACCAGGAAAGAGACCTGGTAAATTTATAGGGAGTGGGTAAGGGAGAAGGGGATCCCCAAGAGCGAATATTTGGGAGTGGGAGTCAGGGGGCAAAGAGTCTGACCCAAGAAGTTCCAGAAAATTGAGATT